AATAACACATCTCAGACACTTTCCTTCTCTCATGAGACTGAAAGCTTTGTTGATATCCTCAAATGGCAGATCATGTGTGATGAACTCATCTATCTGGATTTCCTGTGGAAATGAGTTATCAAGTCAACACATAATGTTTTCTGCTCTTACAAAACATAAATACACATCCCTAGCCCTAGCAAGCTTGTGGAATGTCACTGAAGATTTATAAGAATTAGTGGGCTTCAAGATTGACATTTAAAGTATCACCTTAGATGAGATACCCAAATGACCAACCATCACAACTAAATTTCCCTTTTTATGAGAAATTTTATTGGAGACTTCATTAACTTGTGTTCCTTCCATTGCTAATAGAATTCCCTTAGTATCATATATTAAGTAGCCTGTAGACATGCATTATTATTGTTGCACATTCATTTGTGCAAAGCATTGACTGCATGCATTTGAACAGTTCAGTCTAAATTTCTCTGCAAGTTTCTTTGACTTTTCTCAATCTATACAGTTTGTCAATTTAATGAGATCTTGGTTAGATGATAGTAGACACACAAACATTACAGTAAGCCATATCTTTGTCAATTTAATGTGACTTTTCTCTGTCTATGCATTTTGTCAATTCAATGAGATCCTGGTTATATGATAGTTGACATACAGACATTACAGTAAGCCATACCTTGAGCACTGATGGACTAGAAAGTTGCATAATAGATGAACTTTTTGCTAATACAATCTTTTGATTTCATAGCAAGTAGCCAATATTTTCTCTGAAGGACCAATTCTCTGAAATAATCTTAAAAGATGGTAAAATCCACTTATGGTTCCTAACTTTTTATTCCAGTTCCACTTGATCAGTTGCTAACCTTTGAATTTTCTAATTTGGATCCTTAACTTTCTAAAATGGTTCCATTTTGATCATTTCATAAAATTGTTTGGTTAAAATTGATGTCACATTCATGTTCTAAATTATGTGATACGCCACGTGGACATTCCCTTGGCATTCTATGTGGACATTTTTCTCAGGTATTAATGGAATAATATAACGTAAGGACCAAAGTGGAATCACATTAAAAGGTTAAGGACCCAAATGGAATAATTCAGAAGTTAGGGACTAAAGTGGAACTAGAATGAAGACCATGGATGGAATTTACCCCATAAAGGTCATGTAAAATAAAATTAAGTTATGGAGATTGGAGCAAGGGGTTCCTTTTCAAAGGGTTATCCATATAAGAAAGAAGACCATGAAATTGCTCTGCTGTTTTCAACTTAAAAAAGGTTCAAGACCGAAAACTGAAATCACCAAAGTATTCGTTCATTTATTTATGCTACAATGTAATAATGTTGCTATCTCTCATTTGCTTTTTAATCCAAACCAGTAATTGCTCTACAGGCTTTGCTAATGATAATTTAACCATTTCATTTGTCTTTTTTTGCCTTGTGCAATATTCTAAAACCATCTGATCGTAGGCAACACACATTTAAGTTAAAATTGAGTGCTTTAGGACTCATTCAAGCTATAAAGCTATACTATGCAAATCAAGGAACTTTCTGGCTATTATAGTAAGAGCTGTGTTCTATATACAGGGACGGGATATATGCCCTAAATTTCACTACTGATGAGATGTCTTGTACTTTAGAACCCAAAAAGTTAGCACAGTCCAAAAAATAAACTAATAAAGGAAAAAACTACTAACTATGCTATTTGTAATAACTATGCATCAATTCACAGGAAGTTCTCTTGCAATTCTTACCTTGTTCATGTACTTCTCTACTAATGATGGAAGATCAGATTTAGGTTTCCATCCTCCAAATAGAGATCCTTTCAATGTTTTTCCCGAAAGGAATGCTGAATAGTGAGCTGCTATTTCAGGCTTCATTTTTGGTACACCAAGAGTAACTGTCAAACCCCAACCCTATGAGACAACAGAGGACTGGAAAGTTTCAGTTTCTTGTTTTTTTTTTTTTTGAAAGTTTCAGTTTGCTTTAAACAGAGAAGAGTTAACAGATAATATGAAGAGAAATTACATCACAGCACGATTGCAATGCAGTAGCTACTGTTCCAGTATCACCTATGCATTCAAAGGAGTAATCTGTCCCTCCACCAGATATGCGCTTAATAACCTGGATTATTTTTTTAGAAAAAAAAAAATTGAATTTTAGTTTCCCATCGCATTGTCTAAGATTTCAATACTGCTTTTTTTTGTTTGTGTGTGCATGCATGGTTGAGCACACGGACAAGTATATATCTATGCTTGTTTCTGCAGCAACCTTACGCTAGCTACCATAAGTCATGTAAGAGGCATAATCAGTGATGATGTTATCTTTCTATTGAGATCATACAGCCTTTTGAATATCATTATATAATATGGATATATATTCAACAATATTATAAAAGAATTTTCTAATTTTTATTGCTCCTTGAATGAATACCTGCTGAATTGGTTCTTTACAATCCTTGGGGTTCAAAAATTCTGTTACTCCAAAAGCCTTTGCTGCAACCATAACAACACATCATTTTAGAGAATTTTCAACGGCACAGAACTCAAAAACCCATAACTTGGAGTGCAATATTTATATTACCTTTTTCGTACTTTTCAGGATTAGTCTCAACGCCAATTATTTGAGATGCTCCCCTAAGTTTGGCACCTTGTGCAACCTAATCATAGAAGCTTTGTAATAATTTATCAAAATGGATCAAATATGGCTGACAGATCATTACAGCACTGAGCTTGTCATTAAGCACTCTACTTATACTTACAGCAAGGCCTACAGTTCCAAGACCAAATATCACCACAGTTGATCCTTTAGATATATCAGCAACATTCCAAGCTGCACCAAGACCTAAAACCAAAGCTTTGATTGTCAAGTCTAGTCAACTATAATTGAGAATTAATTCTATTGAGACAAACTTATATTGCTCAAGAATATATAAGTTAGCTCAGGAAAGTAGGAAACCCATGGAACCCCAAAGATTTTAGTAATTTCTTTCAAGCATTAGCTCTTCGTAAAGGTTTCAACATATATTCATGCTACTTCATCCGTTAAACAGAAAGATAGAAACAGAGAGCTGCACCCTGAATTCTGCAATATCATACTAAAAGTTCTGTTACCTGCAGCTACTCCACAACTGAGTAGGCATATTTTCTCCAGAGGTGCATGTGGACTGACTTTGACAGCACATCCAGAGTGCACAACTGTATATTCACTGAAACTTGAAACTGCACAATAATGATAAACAGGTTCCCCTTTAACCGAGAAGCGTGTCCTCTGATCGCTGTGCATTACACCTTTTCTTTCCAAACCCAGAACTTGGCACATGTTACTTTTACCTGATGTGCAGTGAATGCATGTCTTGCATTCTCCAGTGAATACTGTAAGCACATGGTCCCCCTCCACAAATTCAGTCACTCCCTTGCCCACACTCTCAACAATCCTGCAAAACACCACTAAACTATAATCCCACTTTCTTTTTTCAACTGTGTAATGAGCATATGAAAGTCAATATAAACATAAAAAAAGAAAAAGTAATGCCGTATACAGCAAGGATATCCTTATTTTTAAAAATCTCAGAAATTCTAGTGGAGTTCTAGTTGACTCTGCAATTGCTGTGGCACATTATATGTGGTACATTAAGCAGTAGTATATACAAATCTTTTTATCATGGTTTAATTAATTGTCTCCAATATTTGTTCAAACAGAGAGAGCAAGGGCTTCAAGTTTAAATGAACAAGGGCTTGTAAAGAACAATTAAAACCAGAAAGGTTGCAGAACTGACCCTGATGCTTCATGGCCAAATATCCGAGGAAATATAGCCTGCAAATCAACATGCTCTGTTAGATATACAAGCCAATGTTAGAACAGAAATGGTAGAAAAAATTTTGAAGAACAGATAAGAAGAAGTGTTTCTGTGGATCAAAACTAATAGAACAAGAATTTGTTTCGCCAGCCACACTTTGAACTATCTTTTGAGAGAAAATACAATCAAGATTTAAACAGAAACTATAGCAACATCATTATTATGAAGAAGACATTGAATCAACTAGAATATTTTTCCCCGCAAACTTCTTACTATTTGGAGAGTCAACTAGAATCTTTACCACCCAAATTTCTTTCTATTTTGAGCTCTTATGATGGCATCTCATCCTTATTCATTGAACATGACATCAAATACATGAATAACTAATCTTTTTTTTTTTTCACTTTCTAAGATGGGGACTCCAATCTTATGCAAGGGAAAGTTAGGTAAGATAGAGAGGAAGGGAACACAATCAGAGTTAAACTATAAGTATAAAAAATGGGAAAAAAAATTGGGACTAAAAT